TAATGAAAATTTAAAAAATACGTTTTGTAGATCTACGTCAATTATACACATGCTGAAAATTTCCTCGGAATCGGTGGATGGAGAAACAAGCGACAGGCATCGAAAGATGTAAGAATCTTCAGATTTATTAGTTATAAGCGTGAAATAGTGCTCGTTTGTAGCTCATAGCAACATTAACCGATTTCGATGAAATTTTCAGCGCGTGTATAAGTGACGTAGATCTACAAAACGTATGTTTTAAATTTTCATTACAAGCCAAGATAAAAAAGTTGTAAACAGTGACCTTTACAATTTTCTTCGCGATTCCCACAAATTGCAATTTTTTCAAAATTTTTTGTACACGCCATCTAGTAAACTAATCCTTCTAACTTCTCAAAAAAATTCAAGTCGTTTGGCCGAATTTTACAAAAGTTACTCTATTTTGAAGGGTTTCCACATATTTCTGTCCTTGACTGTATGTTACTGTAAAAGCCCGAACGCCGGTAAATATTACTTATTTTACGCGGAAATCTTAATATTTACCAACCAATGTCGGTATAAGTCCGAAATATTATAAAGTTAACATTTATTTCGTGCTTTTACCGAAATTAAATGGCAAATCTTAAGATTCACTATTGAACCCAGATGGTTAAGTTAGTCTAGGTTAGGTTGAAAAAAATATATAGCCTAACCTAATTTATAGTTTGTTTTGACTGTTTTTAGCTTCAGAGATTTAATCTGTTTTTAATAGTTTGTAACTATAACGTCAGTCAGTGACTGTATTTTTTAATAAATGCTAAGAATATGCAATTTTGTTGTTTTATTATCAAAACAACTTTTTACCAGGTATCTACGGTAGATCTTAACTTACGTTTTGACTGTTTTTAACTTCAGAGATTTAATCTGTTTTTAATAGTTTGTAACTATAACGTCAGTCAGTGACAAGTCCGGAAACACAGATAGTTACGTTGAAATTGTAACTTTTACCGCGAATTATTGGTAAATCTAAGACTTTTACAGTAACACATGTACTTTTGAATATACTGCTTTGTTTTTAGGGTATGGTATTGAATATTTTTTATTATAATTCCTACTGTATACTAATTTGCACTATTGAAATATTTTTGGTAAAACATTTAACGTATAGTGTGCAATACTTCTTGTAATAATTCACACTATTAAAAGGTGAATTTTATACCTTATAATGCACAATATACAATTAGTCCAATTTAAAAAAAGTTACTCTATTTCGAAGGGCGTCCACATATTTCTGTCCTTGACTGTATCTATCAAGCACAGTTTCATCAATTCCTTATTTTTAAGTCGAGGCTCATTTCTTTACCAGGGAGAAAATCTGCCTGTGGAAAAGACACACGTGTCATTTATACCTTTTTCAAACGAAACTTCACGTATTCCGCAGTAGTATAACTATCTCTGTCCGCAAGGCCCATCGCGAATCGTGACATGGCGAATGTGTTTGGTCAAATGGCCACATTTACGCCGCGAAATTCGGTTTGCAAATCAGAAAAATACCCAATGGCGTCGAGTTCCATTCTTCTCGTATCATACGACCACGTGAAAAAGGAAATAGTACGAAGAATAATATTAGTTTGATAAAAATGAAATTTACATTCGTTGATTAAAATCAACTTCGCGTGTTTCTTCCTTTTGCCCGTGCGAATTTTTCACCTGAAATGTATACCAGGTGGGTGAAAAGTATGGGACCACTTTGCATTGTAAGCTGGGCAAGAATTTGTTAGAAAGTAGTTGGCAACTTTAAGAAATATTCGAGGAATTTTTTGTTAGCAAATTGCTAATAAAAGTTGTGTACTCCAATATTAATTCGAAACTTATAAGAAATTAGGAACAGATAGTGTATACTTTTTTATTTTGACATTTAGAAAAGGTATGAATTCTAAGAAAATTCGTAATAGTTTACTCCTGCGAATATAATTGCATTATAAATATATTTTTTATGATTAATCTATTTATATACAGGCTGGGCCACGTAAAACAAGCCATCTAACTAACTTCTAAATTCA